TATATATATATATATATATATATATATATATAAAGAAACAAAAAACTTTAATTTTAAGTAATAAAACTTGTTTTTAATGTAAACTAAGGTTTTACTAAAGTATTTATACACTAATTCACCACCACCCTACCACCTCCAACATTAAAGGTTCTGTTTGGCAAACCTAGCTGAAAAGCTATAAGTTAGGAGTTGAAAGCTGAAAAGGAGCTCAAAGCTGAAAAGCTATAAGCTCGGAGCTGAAAACTAAAGAGCTGTTAAGCTAACTATTATGATTGAAAGTGTTTGGTAAAATTAGCTTTTTGATAAGCTGATAAATGTAAAAAGACTAAAAATGACATCTTCATAAAATTTAAATTAGTTTGTTTACATATTAAAATTTAACATTTCGTCTTTAAAAAATTAACATTTTGAAATAAAATTATTAGCATAATCATGATCTAGAATCTTATAATGAAGTAGCAATATTGTTGCAAATCTCATAATAATAATAATAATAATAATAATAATAATAATAATAATAATAATAATAATAATAATAATAATAATAATAATAATAATAATAATAATAATAATAATAATATTTGTGGTGAAAATTGCGGATAAAAGAGAAGAGAAAAGGGTTTTAATTGGGAAAGGTAAATTATGTCATTTCTTTAAAATAATAAGAATAAAGATGGAATAAAAAGTTAGGAAGCTAGGAGCTTATTTTGGGAACATTACAAACAGAGCTTATTATTAGCTTAAAATAAGCTATAAGCTCCTAAATAAGCTCTGCCAAACAGAGCCAACGATAATATAAAATTATCCTTTATTATAGATATTCAAATAAGAACGACAATGTTAAAACATTTTGTAACATGATGTAATTTTATTTTGTAGAAAGTGTTACTTTTGGTTTCTTAGTTATAATTATTGTAGAAATTTAGCCCCTAAGTTATCATGGATCAATTTCAAATCTGCCTATGTGCATGTTAAGAGGTTAAAATTGACACTATGACAACAATTTAAAGAATAGGTTAAAATTGACACTATGACAACAATTTAAAGAATAAATTTACACCACAGTCCTAATTACGGGGCTACTTAAAAGGGTTGTTTCCCACTTTAATACGTTTAATTAAAATAGTTTTCATCCTTACCATTACCACTTTCTATTAGTCACTTTTGAATTTAAAAATGAAAAACTGTGCTGTACAATCCTTCATAAGTTCGCAGGTTAAGGTTGATTCTCACATGATTAGACCTTTAGTAAAAAGTATAAATGAATAGATGAATAAATTAAACTCTTACAGTCCAACAATCCTTGAACAATAAATGAGAATGTCATTCCAATGTTAGTAAAAGGATGAATTTATTTAATTCCATAAGGAGATACACTAAAAAAGAATTAATTAAAGAAGTGAAGTCCAAACAAATGGCAATTAGGATGGGGCATTTGGTGGGTTTAAGGATATATAAAATTGAAACAAATGGCTAAAACCTACGGAGACCTAGGGCGCCCATAGTCATCCGAGAAAACCACTGGGAAAACCTGCTAAACCAGGAAATTAGCTGTTTTCATGGCGAAAAGCGGTTTTATCCGGGAACAAAAAGGCTCCGGAAAACCGGGAGGAGAGTGGGGGCCATGGCCGTAAGTGTAGTTTTCCGTGACACTTTATGGCGTCCCGGCCTAACGGTGGTTGTTAGCTAGCTAGCTAGGCTTCTTCATGCACGCACTTTATCCATTTGTCTCATCACTTTCATATATATACCTAATTCAGATTAAAACTTAATCAAACGTTAAAAGTTGTTAAATTATGTGAAGTTAAGGTTACAAATGTGGTCAAGCACTTTGTGCTCAGATGACATGTAATGACTCTTTCATATGGAAGATCATGAGATCGAACTTCAGTGGAGGCGTTGTTGACTCTTTGTATTTCAATAAGTTGATAAAATATGTTGTTCCCTTCCTCTAAAAGTTTAAGATAAAAAAAGTAATCAAAAATGATAATCTTTTTCTTTTAAGATAGTCGTCGGTGACAGAAAATTAGATCAGAATGATCAAATTCAATATAGCAAAGATTTAAAAGTTGAGAGACTAAATGTGAAAAAAATAATAATTATCGACTAAATGTGAAAATAATCACATAGTTGTGAGATCAAAAGTGAAAAAAAAAAAAAAAAAAAAAAAAAAAAAAAAAAAAAAAAACCTCTTACAATTGTATATTATGATACTTTTACACTTATTTTCTTAAACAATAGTAGTATTTTTTTTATTTTTTTTTTTGTTGTTGTCATGTTTATGGTTTATTATTACTCTGGTACAGCAAAAAAAAAAAAATATTAATTACTCTTGCACCTAATAAATTATTTTAAATTAATTCTTGCAAAAAAATCTAAAATATATAAATCTTTTCAAAGTTAAAATTTTCTAACCCTAATACATAAGTACATACACACAAGAAAAAATATCCCATAAGGTTAGCACTTCTCATTTTTCGTTGTCTTTTTATATTTTTGCTTCTCAACACTTATGATAGACTTTTCTTTTAAGAAATATATTATAAATAATAAATTCAAAGAATAATTGAAAAATTAATCATTTTTAAACCAAAAATTAATCATTTTTTTAAAAAATTAGATAATTTATTTACTTAACATTTTTCAATTTATAAAACGAAGAATACTTTTTCAATCTACTTTAAAAAAAAAAAATCAATTAATAAGTTCTCCAATTTAGATGAATGGAAACCCCACAGAGATGAACATTAATTCTTGGAATCATATCTTGGCATAAGATCCAACTTAGTTTTCCTCTCCCTTTCTTCTTGTTTCATTCCCCGCCCCCCCCCCCCCCCCCCCCCCCTTCATATATTAACTCTTCGAAAAAAAAGAAGAGAGAATATACTCCCAATTTTTTTGTTGCATATGTTTATATGTTTACTTATTTCTGAAAATGCCAATTGTACTGTGGCGAGTAAAATAAATAAATAAATAAGAAAAGGCATGCAGACTAGGATCCATAAGGTTGGGGGGATTTTCTTAAACAAGGTAGTATCATATCACTTGAGACTTGAGAGAGAGAGAGAGGGGATAGTACATTAGTACTAGAAACTAGAGAATATAATATTAAATGAATATTAAAAAAAAAAAACAATTGTGGTCAATAAATAAATTAGAAAAAATTCACACTTTTGAGTTTTGATCCCTAAATTATTGTGATAGTTTAACTTTTCCCTTCAATTATAGATACATCAAAAAAATTTCCCTCAATTATTCTCGAAGTGATTAATTTTACCTAAACATTATCATAGACTCATAGTTGTTAGATATCAATTCAAATAAACCTTGTTAACACTTTTATAATATCATAACTTAAAAATTATAAAAATATCATAATTATTCATTTCATTTAGATACAACTTAAATAAAGTAATATCAATCACTTTATCTTTTTGAATACATAAAAAAAATACATTAAAACAATTGCCGTTAAAGAAATTATGACTACATCACTCTAATGATATGATCAAGTTACAAGGATAGGCCAGTCTTGTGCCATCATAACTCAAGAACCAAACTTCATCTACTTCAGTATATGATTCATATTTTATTAATAAGTAGATTTTTTAAAAAAAATTGGGTAGGATTGATCAATTCATAATAATAAATACAGAGTAAAAAATTATTGCCTCGTAAGTGTTGACAAATTTTAGTAAAATATTTTAATTTGTATAACTTTATCCTATTAATTAAAACGGTGGCTAGTGAATCCCAGCCACTATCTGAGGATATATACGAGTAAATTTTATTATTGTGCATTAATTCGACGGCGTACACGATAATTAAATTACACAAGGAAGACGTTGGACAATGAGTAACGAGAATCTATATTTCAGATTTTCGGACACCCTCTTGGAGCATGTAACTTTTCTTTTTACACAAAAACAAAAGGCCTTAATTAGTAAAATAGTTAGCTTATTAGCAAGTTTTGACTTATTTGATCACTATTAATTGTTTGACTTGGCTAAAAAGCAATATAAATATTTGGTTAATTAGCTTTTTGTAACTCCAAAATGTTAAAATTCAAAAAACTACTCAAAATAAGTTTTCAATTAATTTTTTTTTAAATAAATTATACCAAACAACTATCAGCTAACAGCTAATTTACGAAACATATTTCTACAATCAGCTAATGTTATCAACTAGTTATACCCTCTAATTAACTCAATCAATATATTTAAGGCTAAAGTGTCATCCCTCACCCTGAATCATTTGTGATTATTCATCCCGCGCCATGAACTGTAAAAAGTGATATTTCGAGCCATCAACCAAATTTTTTTTTTCACCTAACACTTTTTATAGGTTGTCCGGTAATAACGATGACATGGCACCGGTTTCAACTGCTGATGTGGTCTTTTTATCTAGTCAACGAGTTGTTAGTGTCATCCCACACCTTGAACCATTTGTGATTATTCATTCCGCACCATGAACTGTAAAAAGTGATATTTCGAGCCATCAACTAATTATTTTTTTTCACCTAGCACTTTTTATAGGTTGTCCGGTAATAACGATGACATGGCACGTAGGTGAAAAAAAAAATTTGGTTGATGGCTCGAAATATCACTTTTTACAGTTCATGGTGCGGGATGAATAATCACAAATGATTCAGGGTGCGGGATGACACTTTAGCCTATATTTAAATTTGAAGCATTAAACACGGTTAAACATCAATTTCCAATATTTATTTATTCCACTAGACTAGACTTTAAATTAAAACTAGCAAGTAATAAGAAGTATAAAAATGGTGTCTTGCAATGAAAGACCAAAATCCTCTTCTCAAATAACGTCATCATCCCCCACCACCACCAAACACCGGAGAGGGGGTGGTGTGGGTGGTGCTGTGTGGGGGCACTCACTCTCTCTCTCTCTTTCTCTCTTTCTCTCTTTCTCTCTCTTCACACATATATACACCTCCCACCCTTTCTCCCTACTCACTCTTTTATTACCTCTACTTCTCTCTCTCTCTCTCTCTCTGAAGAAAGATGAGAATGAGCTGCAATGGCTGCCGAGTCCTCCGCAAAGGCTGCAGCGAGAACTGCACCCTGAGACCTTGCCTCCATTGGATCAAATCCCCAGAATCCCAAGCCAACGCCACTGTCTTCCTCGCTAAATTCTACGGCCGCGCCGGCCTTATCAACCTCATCAATGCCGGCCCCGATCACCTCCGTCCCGGTCGGTATATACATACAACCATGCACACCTATACATACATCTCCTCTTCATAATTCTTTTTCATTATACACTCTAACATATATTTAGTATCATTAGTAATGTTAATTATTCTGATTGGGATGAGATTCGAACTTAAAACCGGGGAAAATAATGGTTTTTTTTTTTTTGGGTTTTGCAGCGATTTTTAGGTCTTTGTTGTATGAGGCATGTGGGAGGATAATCAACCCGATTTACGGTTCGGTGGGGCTGATGTGGGCCGGGAACTGGGACCGGTGTCAAGAGGCGGTGGAGGCGGTTCTGAGAGGATCGGAGATCATGCAAGTGAACATCGAAGACGGCGGCGGCGGCGGCGCCGCCGCCGAGTCACATCCGATAATGCCGTTCAAGGGCTGCGACATACGTCACCTCTCCAAGGAATCTGCCGGCGGGGTCCACCGCGTCCGGTCCAGGAACCGGTTCAAGCGGACCGGCACCTCGCACGACAAAGCGGTCGACCACCTCGAGTTCATGGTGGAGGAGGACGAGCCGCCGGCGAAATTCAGCATCACCGGCTGGGGCGGCGGCGGTGGCGGCGGCTGCGAGACGGCGGAGAGTGTCGGATTGGAACGCGCCCCCAGCCATGGCTCCTCCTCCCTTGAAACGGTCGAGCCGGTTCTTGCGAACCGGGACCACCCGGTTTCCGGCTCGATTGCTGAGATCCGAACCGCGGACCGCGGTTCGGATGATGAGCTTCTCCTGGACCTGACGCTAGGGTTTAATCCGGTGGAGCGCCCCCACCTCTCCACGGTGGATAAGCATTCTGTAGGTGACGTGTAAGAAACGGAAACAACAATCCGTTACGGGGGCTTCTGTTTTTGGAGGGTTTTTCAACTTTAGCATCTTCAATTTTTTCTGTTTTTAATATTTCTTCATGTTTTTTTCGGAAATCCCTAGGTTTTTAAAGTACATGTCTTGTTTCTATAGTTATATATATATATAGTGAGAGAAACAGAGATTTTCATCCATATTATAAATGATTTCGTGTTTGCACTTCCAAATTGTTGTGGCCATTTTTTTTTATTTTTTATTTTTAGTTTTTACTATAACCCTTCTTCTCTTCTCCCAAAAGGATTAATCCCTAACCCAAAGGCCCTCACCCGACAAAGCGCATATTTAAGAGGCCGGATGTAAATCTGACTCAATGACTCAGTAGAGAAGGTTAAACATCAGTGTGCATAATGAGTCTGTCCAAATATTGATTTACTGAATCATTGAGTTAAGCTCGTGTTGGTTACTATAACCCTTCATACACTAGAAGAAGAAAAATAATATACTCATAAATTTAGTAATAAATTAAATAGATACGGTTTAAATATTTGTATATTTTAATATTTAATTAACGAAAATCTGTTGGTAAATTAAATAGTAGTAGATTTTTAATATTTTATAACAAAAATATGTTCATAAATTAAATATTTATGAATTTAAGTAATTTACTTATAGATTTTTTTATGAACAAATTTGATTTTTATTTATTGTAGATCCACTCAATTTAAAATCAAACTCGACGACTAATTTAAAACCTAAGTGTTATGTTACAAATTATTCTCGAATAATTTGAAATCAAACTCTTATGTGAGCGATCAAATTAGACTAATTTGAAATTAAGTCGTAATATATTATAGATTTAAATTTAGGGGTGGGGAATGGGAGATTATATTCTCTTAAAATATGCATGTTGGGTATAAAAGAAGCAAAAAAATTACATATATCATCTCAATCTTTTCAAGAAGATTGGATCCAAAAGAATGGGTGTTTTAATTTGTTTTTGTTTAGAATATAATTCCACTGAAAAATGCAAGAAAGATTGAAATTTGAAATGGTGGAATGAGAAAAGAAATGATTAAAATAATTTGCAATGTTTGGAGCAGTGCAGAGGAAAGGGATGGATCCAAAAGGGATTGGAGAGAGAGCTGAGCAAAACACTACTTTTGACTGTGTGAGAGAGCACGTGGGAAGGCATGCAGAAGGGGTAGGGTGGTGGGTGGGGAAAGGTTGTGTTGTGGTTTGAAGACACCTGCTGTTCATGCAAGGGCTCATGGAAGTTTGCTGTTTTCCCAACTTTCACCCTGGCCTATGCCTGTCTTCTTCTTATATTATAGGGCTAACACATACATACATGAGATATGGATGATGAGTAGAGAGAGACACCATGGAGAGAGGTGGGGGCAATTTCGTCATTTCCCAATTCTAAGTCGCGGATCAGGGTCTTCATCACTTCTGATCGGTGAAGGTCTCTCAATGATCTTCAGGTTCCCAGTGGAATTCGAACCCCACACTCCCGGGTCTTCATCACTTCTGATCGGTCAAGGTCTCTTAATCACTTCTGATCGGTCAAGGTCTCTTAATGATCTTCAGGTCCCCAGTGGAGTGGAATTCGAACCCCACACTCCCGCCGCCGAATTAAGGCAAAATTTCACCAATATATAGGTCGGGTTGCACAAGGGGTCTTCATAATTTCTGATCGATCAATATCTCCCAATGATCCCCACGTTCCTAGTGAAATTCGAACCCCACACCCCGCCGCCGAATTAAGGCTTTATGGTGATATATCGAACCAACTGAGGTAGCCCCACTAGCATCGCGAGGCATGTGGATCTAATTTAAATCTAAAAATTTCACACACACACACACACACACACACACACACACACACACACACACACACACACACACACACACACACACACACACACACACACACACACACACACACACACACATATATATATATATATATATATATATATATATATATATATATATATATATATGTATATATCGGGTTTGGATTTTTAAATTATGTACTCTTTGTTTTATTTTATGTGTTTAGTTTGGTTAATGAGACTTTACTTACGTTATTTACAATTTTATTTTTTTATAATATTTAATTTGGTATTAGTGTATAGAAATTATATATTTAAAAATTAAATAAAAAGTATCATTAAACACAATATTTTTTTAATTATAACAAGATGTTAAAGAAAATAACCGGCCAAAAAAGGAAAACTTATTGACTAATGAACAGCAAACATATAACTGATAAAATCATATATAAGGAGCATTACAATGAAGAATTATATTATATAGTGTGCTTTCGTTAATTTAACATAATTTGGTATATAGGGTTATATAAAATGGATTTTGATCACGTAAGAATTATTATGCCATATGTCAACCACGTAAGTGATCTGATAACATGCAAAATAGATTATGTTTGGACTCAATTATATATATATATATATATATATATATATATATATATATATATATATATATATATATATATATATATATATATATATATATATATATATTTGTCAGTTATTTGAGAGTTTAGGAAGATGCAATATTTTTCAATTAATTAATGATACTAAGGTTAATTAAAGTTTTCAATTTAGCATTTCGTTGGAAGTAACAAAACGAAATTAAAATTTAAACCTCACTATTGACATGCAAAAAAGAAAACATAATAATAATAATAAAATCCCAAAGAAAAACTAAAATTTGTATTGTCTCAATAGTCAAGTATAAAAAAGGATTGATATAAAATCGTAAAGTTTAAAAAAAAAAAAAAAAATTCTAACAAATCATAATAGTTGTGGGATAAATAGATAAAAATTAATTATTAATTGATTAATTAGTGAATAATCTAAACAATGTTTTCAAATAATCAAGAAGACATGGAACACCTAACAAATCACATTAAACCCCAGAAACCGGGATCCAATTTGTCTTGGAACATCCATGTGTCACAAGAAAAATCAAATCTATATTTGGAAAATTCTTATGAAAAAAAAAAACAAAAAAAAAACAGAGCTAGCTTGTGTGCCTTTCGCGTACTAGCAACACCCAACAGACACGTGCAATGTTCGCACTTGGTGGGCACATCAATGTGGTTGTCAAATCTTTTTTTTTTTCCCTTTCTTTCTTTATTCTTTTTTCTTTTTTTTTTTTCCCATCATTCTATCTCCTTCCTCTCTTTCCTTATTTGAGCGACAAAAATTCAACGATTGGGCTTACTCTTACAAGTCCCAAATAGATTGATACGGAGTAACATTTAATAAGGCGGCCTAGGGGCCGGCATGACATTTGTCATTGACCATTTAAGTTTCGTGTGTGAGTCACACTTCACCACATATCAAATCCATTATCCAACTTAACAACATTATTAAAAGTCTCTTATTCCACTCAACAATATTCTTATATGCTTCAAGCAAATTGATAAATAGGGTCATAGGGCATGGCATATGCCCATCAACCATTTAAATTCCGTGTCTAAGTCATATATATTTCACCACTGGCTAACAAAACCGCTTATCCCACTCAACAACATCCTTAAAAGCCTCAAATAATTGATAATAAGCTAGGCCTCATGGCATAACAACTGTCGTCATCCATTTAAGTTATGTGTGTTGAGTGACACTGCACAATCACATGGCAAAATTGCTTATCCCACGCAAGTTCCAACCCCTTTAAAACTGTCCAAGCCTTGGCTTCTTTAAAACGGTATGCTCTGATATTCAGTGTAAAAGTCACATTATAATCCAATTGACAACATAATCACACATTAAACCCCACTAACTCTCTTTCTCCATTTCATTTTAAAAAACATTCGTGTTTAACTTAATCTAGTCGTGATCTAGAGCGCTCCACTTGAAAAATTGATTTTTAAAATGCATCGAACATAACCTATCTTCAATTTAGATATTATATGGTTATATTATATGTTAGTTGCATAAAATAATATTTGATTGAACTGTCTAGACAATTATTTCATTAAAAAGACCCTTGAAGACAAAATAACATGCTCATTCTGTCTCATTTTATGTATCTTATTCGGGTAATAAGGTTTGGCTAAAATTATTTGTACCTTTATTTTTTTATAATATTTAATTTAGTGTTAGTGCACCAAATTTATATATTTAGAAATTAAAAAAAAAAATATTATGAACAAAAGTTTGAATTTAAAAATTATTTAAAAAATTTATAAAATAACTAAAGAAAGAAGAGTTGGACTTATCAATGAATAATAAAAATGACAAATAAAATTATATATATGAAGTATAATATAAAGGAATAAGGGTCAAACAGGCCATCCAACTGCACACAATAATTCAATTAGGCCACTGAACCTAAAAAACTAACAATTAGGTCCCTAAACTAACTAATTTCAAACAATTCTTCCAATATGAAGGTTTTCAACAGGTCATCCTTCCAAATTAATTATTTTTAAAAAATAAATTTTTAAAATTAATTATTTAAATTTAAAAAAAAAACAAAAAAAAAAAGGACTGGCCGGAGTATGTTTTTTTTAAACAAAATATAAAATTAATTATTTTTAAAAATTTATTTTTTTAAAAAAAATAATTAATTTGAGAGGATGACCTGTTGGCCTGTTGAAAACTTTGAAATTGGAAGAATTGTTTGAAATTGATTAATTTAGGGACCTAATTGTTGATTTTTTAGGTTCAGTGGTCTAATTGCATTATCCTGTGCAGTTCGATGGTTTATTTGACCCTTATTCCTAATATAAATAATTCACCGTAAAGAACAAATTAAATGCAATTATTAATAATAAATTACAAATCAACTAATTATGTAGGTATTATATAGTAATATTTTAATTTCATAAAAATAATATTTAAATAATTAATAAAGGCCAATAATTATAATTGATTAGATATGGATAACTATTAAAAAAAATTATCAGTATATGATACCAAAAAAAAATCGTATTATCTAAATAATTATGAAAAAAAAAACTATATATGGGTCTAAAACAATAAATTATAATTATAATTAATATAAAAAATAATGTACGATAAATGAAAATTAAAATGGATCAAATATTTTATTCTGATTGTGTAGATATTATCTAACTATTTTCAATTGCATAAAAGTTATTTAAATAATTAATACAGGTTAACAATTACAAATATTTATATATGGGTAATAACTGAAA